GGGGGGGCAAACTTGCATGCATGGAAGAATGGATAATATGATGCAACGATTACACAGTAAGAAGTCAGAAATGTATGGTTATAACTTTAAGGAGTTCAAAATTTAAATTTAGTATTTATGTTCTGAACAAAATCCAACAATGTACAGATATTGTTTATCTTAAACTTGATGTTGCTGACTAGAGGTCATCTTACATGAAAATATAGATTTTCTCATAAAAACACGTTTCTGATCAGGTCATGCAATAAATGACACCTGTTTCTTTACAGACACAAAGAGTCCAAAAACAGACGATTCCTGCGGCTCTATAGACTTACAGATGTCTATAAGTAAGTTCCTAACTAATTTGACCTCTGTGTCACCTTGATTCAAATTTATTATACCATCAGAGGGCGAACAGACTGAAATTTCTTGCACTTTGGTGCTGTCTGTGACAAATTATCATGTGTGTCAAAACTTCATAAATTTGATTGTGTATTATGACTTTGTGATATGTCCAATGCCAAACAGAAATCTCTGTAATATAATGTCAAAGTCAAACAAGGGGTCAAAGTTCAAACCTCTATATAAAAACCTATGAGAACTATGTAATATATCTAGATGTTTTGTAGTATATATGTCACTTTTAGGACATCAAGATCAATGGCTTTGTAGAGGTATAGCTTTGTAACCTTTTGTAACCTTTCTGTTATTTCATTATAAGTTTATTTTCATTTGAAATGTTGTTTTTAACGCAGATGAGGAATTCCTAACCAGACTCAACACATCGACAGTCAAGGATCTCCAGTCACTACAAACAGTAGGAGTCAAGCGGGCGAAGCTCATCTTTGAGTGGCGGGAGGCATATGGTCTTTTTTCAAATGTAAGGAAGTATGCTGGATTTGTATGTTCTCTAGACAAAGACTATAACATTATCAGAAAAGTACACAAGAACTCTGTTGTCCTCGCTGAACAAGGAGTGCAGGGCCCGTATTCATGAAACCGTTCTCATGCTCAAGCATGGATTTTGTGCTCAAGCCTAATTTCTGAGACTTAAAGCCTAATACTGTTTTTCAATGTTTACATTTGACTTTTTGATCGTTTGACATGATTTAAGCGACTAACAAGAAAGTTGGTTTGAACACAGAATCCATGCTTGAGCATGAGAACTGTCATGAATAAGGGCCTAGGGCCCTGTATTCATGAAAAGCCATTCTTCTGCTCAAGCACAGATTTCATTGGGAAAAATAGTCAAGTTGAACTATTGAAAATGGTATTTGGCTTTAAAAGTCTCTCCAAAATTCTAGCAAATAATTGACAGAAAATTTAATTTTTATTAATTTATCACTGAAACAAGAAAACGTGCTTGAGGACAGAGTCTATGTTTGGGCATGAGAATGGTTTCATGAATATGTCCCCAGGACTCGAAAAAACTGCTTCCAGAATTAAATCCACGACCTTTCTTTTCATTGTCGGTGAATAAAAATATCTTCGTTTGTTATTTTATATGAAAAACAATTATTTTCACTTGATTTTTCTGCATTTTTATATCACAAAAAAACATATCATTAAGAATCAGTTCTTTTTACTTAAAAATGGATTTAAAGTTAACAAGAATTCATGAAATAAAGCAATTGGTACATTTTTTTTTTGAGGTTGGGGGTCGGGGTTGGGAGGGGGGGNATTCATCTGTAACAATGCATGGTAGAGTCTACTAAAGTTACATAGGGGTGAAAGGGTTAACATTTTAACATCCTTGCAACAGCCAAGGTTGTATGAAGACATGTGCTTATGAGACACTAACCAAAAAAACAGTATATTAACCCAAGGACTGATATTGGTCGAGAGCTGATACAGTATGATATGGAAATGGTCTTATGGAAACTTTTTTTATCATATATTGTTCTAAAACATCAAAAGTATAAGCCATTACACATAAAACTGGCAGAAAATTGATATTTCACGAGCTTAAGGTAGCAGAATACAGTAGAAATGGCCCGACTCTGATAAACAAGGCACATGTCGAGGAAATGTAAACACAGCGGATTTACCCTACACAACATGGTTACCACATCAAAAATTACCAAAAAATGCCAAAAAATGCTATTTTTAACCCAAAATTTGGCCCCCGCAAGTACTAATTTTTTTCCTAAGCTCTGTCTGAAATTAAAGATTACCTACCTGGTTGCAGAATTATCTGGGTCGCAGTAAAATTGTAGAACTTGATTTTTTGCAATTTTGCGTCGTGTGCTGTTGTCAAAATTTTACCTCCTGTAAAGCTAGCTTTTCATGTGTACGCACCCTTTCGTATTATGGCCAAAATTTTATTCTCGAACCAAAGAAATCTTCTTTCTTTTTTACAAATGTGAAGCTCACATAGCCCACTTCATCATGCTTATACCAATTTTAGTACAGTTTTATTTTTATAATTTTTTTACATATCATTATACAGAGGTTAGCCATTTAACAAAAATATCACCCATGGCCACAACCCTCTACTGTACACTGCTACCTAAAACTGGCAGAAAATTGATATTTCACGAGCTTAAAACTGGCAGAAAATTGATATTTCACAAACTTAACTACAATCACATTCTACTTTTAATAAAACACTATGAACAGAATAGCATATATACAGACAGATATGCAGTGTGTACACTACCAGTTTGAGGTGTGATTTTTCTGAAAAGTGTTCAACAGGAAGTTAGATGGGCAGATATGGATTGGTCTGGGATATGGCCTATGCACAGCTAGTAGTATCATGCTTGCACAACAACCCATATCACAGACACGTATATAGTAATTATTAGATATCACATGACAATTACCTGTATCCGTGCCGTATTGAACCATTACATGATTTCTTAGGATTGATAATGTTTGGGGTGAAATATCATTTGTTTATTGTTTGTTTATATTTCAGTATGAAGATTTAAAGAAAATCCCTGGTTTCACAGACAAGTACATTGGAAATCTATTAAAGGTATTTTTATTGCTGAAAATAGGATTTTGAAAAGTGAAAATGCAAGCTTGACAGATACACACCATGGTATGAAATATATACAGAACTGTATGAAGAAAATCTACTAAAAACTCATTGTTTGATTCTATTTTGTAATAATATTTGGCCATGCATGTAATGCAAGAAATCACAGTAATATAAAAACTATATTGAAAATCTTGGCGACAGAGATACAGGTGCCCTTTATAGTAGTGCCTGTCTGGAGGCACAGAACTCTAGTGGTAGGACGCCGGGCTTGTGACCGAAGGGTTGTGGGTTTCAGTCTCAGCACAGCACTGTGTTGTATCTTTGAGCAAGATACTTTACTCCGCTTGTTCCAGCCTACTCAGCTGTAAATGAGTATGTGGTTGGGCAGTGCGAGAATTGTTGAATGGTAGCTGTGAGTGCCGAAATGGCAGCACCGGCTGTATGCTCCCGAGGGAGTTGAGAAAGATATTGGCTGGTTGCAAAGGCCCTATAACCACAGATAATAATTTGCGAACCGCTTTGAGACGTCCTATGAACTAGGTTGTGATAAAGCGGTATAAGAACCTCAAATTGTTATTAATTATTATCATTATTAATTCACAAAAGAATAATGAATCTACCAGGTTGTTGAGGGGGTCAGATTATTTTCCTTGATACCTTACCAGTACTCAGGGATCCATGTCCCATGGCATCGTTGTTTATCCTATATGCAGTAACCTCCCTTTAACTTCCATTTTGATATAAATGTAGAATATTGGGCCAGGTCACTTACGTTGACCAGGTAGTGCAATCGGTTAGAGTGACAGTTTAGCAGTGTGAAGTTTAGGGTTCAAATTTGGTTTTAGCCCCAGTGTTTTTGTTTATACTAAGGATACTTTGTTGATTATATTTTGTTTATTACATCTTTATCATTTTCCATTAAAGTCACGCAATGTATGGTTTTCTTTTCATAAATGTTTATCTAAGCCATAGTCATGCTGGAAATAGAGGTCCCCCAACAAGTGGTGGTTGGTTATCATGTTTATCTAACTCGAGTTAGTTAATTTTCAAATTGTATAAAGACACAAGGTTTACCGAGTGTCTTTTACATTTGAAAATTGATTAACGAGAGTTAGATTAACATGATTAGCATCCATCACGAGTTTTGGGGACATTTTTTTCCCACAATTTTCATATAATATATCTAGAAAAACCTTATGTTTCTCGTGGGAATATCTTATTCCTATTGATGATCGGGGAACAGTGACATGAACTATGACGTCACAATGGCAGATGACTTCGCAAAGCAATTGTTACTTGACGTCATAATTAGAAGGTTGACCAATGAAATCACGTCCAGGGTGCTACCCACTAGTGGATTACCAAAACTGTTTACCCACTCCTAGTAGGTCTATCCAATGAGTCGGGAGTGAGGAAACCTATAGTGGTTATGGGAGAAAGAACAGTCTCCAATACTTAGTTACAGTTTTTGGCAGTGGTACAGGAATCCTTACTCTTCTTTGATGTGTTCTTTTGTCTTTTCAGAGTAACTTAGTGGCAGTGTCATAAAATGATGCCTAACAAGGACTCGCAGTGCTTGAGAAAAACTCGTTGAACACTTGCTCGGACTGCAGGCGAGGACTGAGTACTACTGTCAGGTGTTTTAGTCTCCTACCAGTCAGGCTGAACAGAACTTTCCAAAATGAGGCTGTGCTTACTGCATGTAGCTACCCAGGCAGTCAGTGCTCTGACCAGTTCTGCCAAAGAGCTAAAAGCTTCCAGTCGGCCCAGTTTCATGAATGTTCCCTAACTTAAGGAAATTCCTTAACTGAAGTTTTTCCATTGGCACATATGTAGCTGAAATTAAGGAAAAGTCTTAACTTAAGCAAATTTTCCTTAATTCCATAGGTTTTGATGGAGAATCTTCAGTTCAGAAACATTTATGAAATCGGATGGTAAAGAATTGAACCGGTTCACCACAGAGTGGGTATTAAAGACAATTTTACAATTGATCATGAAACAAAATGGCAGCTAAATCGTTAATACTGTACCAATAATTTATTAGGTAGAATATTTTCAGAGAAAAAAATGTATGTTGATTGAATTTTTGTAGATTTTAAACAGGCTTCTTATAATTACACACAAGACAAATTTTGCTTTGACAGTTATATTTTTTAGTGAATTAAAAAGAAAATTTGTCAACTTTTTCTATTATTAACTAAATTTGTTATTTTTAAAAAAGTCGATGACTTTTGTTTTACATAAAATTAACCATTATTTTTCAAGACGTCATTTTTGGAATAACGTATTGGTGTTCATTGGGCAATAATCAAATTGAGCAGTAGAGTTGGTATGAATGATTCATCATGAAGTTTGTTCAAACCTTATTTTGTCTTAACAAATTTAATGTTTACCCCACTGAAACTGTAAGCAATTAATCTCATCTTATTCTGTTATGGGGCAAATTTCTTTCTTTGCAGTAATTTTATTTTCACTTATTCTATCCTCATTTCTATTCCGTCTTTGCATATTGCAGAGTTATCTTCTCTCGTGTGGAAAAAATTATTGTTACGTCATTTGTTTGTGAGAGTAACGTCATAAATTTTTGAGAAAACAACGTAATTTTCTCACACAAACCAATGACGTAACAATAAAAGATAACTCTGCAATACGCAAAGACGGAATATAACGATGAAGCTCCTGAAAGTATCGTATTTTTTAAGGAGCATGCTACACAAGATACTGTACTTGAAAGCCAACTGCAATTAATGTGCATGCATCAGATTTTATACATTTAGGACTATAAAAAAAAATGGAAAACTATTTGAACTCGTTTGTAATAAGAATTTAAATTAAGTTTTTGAAATTACTTTGGGATATGTATCTCTGTCATTTAAGTGTCGCAAGTGTTGGTAATGAATACCAACTGACCGTTACATTAAATGTGTATAAATGAAAATAATTTGATATAGCTCATCTTCACCAGTCATTTCTGTAGTCATCGCAATGCTCATTTTTTCAGGGATGAATTTCACATATCGTAGAGCAGGATATTTCCGTGATTTCGTGGGTCAATAACGTGATCGTCATAATATGATCTGCAGAATAATGTGACAAGCGTAAAAATGAGCCCTGATAATAAGCTTCATAACTGTATATAATGTCTCAATGAAATGGCGAGCATGTGGCTGTAATGATTCATTTACATGAAGAGTAATTACAAGATGTCTGAAAATAGATTATATTGCACATTTAAAAGTTTTATCGATGATTTGTTTGATAAAATACTCTTTAGCTAAATATTTTGTAATAAAGCAAATAATGTATTTGGCAATTTGACACTTGGGTTCATTCACATGTCAAGATCGCGAAGTTATAACCTGTGTGAATTTCTCATTTTCTAATTTTGGGTCAAAATTGCGAAAAAAATAACTGCATAAATAACCCATTACGGTATGATTCATCACAGTTGGTCTGCATTGGCCACTTCAATAGAAAGTGTAAATGGCAGGTTCTAGTACCGAATCTTTTGGTATGAAACAACCAACATATTACTCTTCCATGTTTCAGTCTCAATATACATATATATTTTTTAACTCAATTCATCATGATCTCAAAACCAAAGATGTAAATATTGTAAATATTAATTATGTAAATATGTATGTTGTATACAGTAATCATGATAGTCAACTGTACAAGTCGCGTGTCCGATATTAGTGAGGTACGGATGTGTTGTATATATGTACAGAAAGTGTCGAGTACCTGATGTTTTAGTAGAAACCTATCACTTCTTCCTATTATCTTTCTCTTCTTATTTCTACAAAATTATGTTGGTACGAATATATACTTTTTGAATGATTGTGTGTGTGACTTGATGTTCGAAAACACAAATATTTTTGTAATCAGCGGATAAATATATATATACATTTTATGTCACACATGAATTAACAGAAGTTTCAAACAAGTGTTGAGTACTTATCATGTTTACCTCTCGACAGTTTACTATAAAATAAACTTTCAGCAGATGCAAAGCTCTACCACATGAGCATCTGAAGTTTTAAAATTAATAGCAGTTATAGCTCAGTACAGCTGTGTATGATCCAGTCAGGGTGAGGTTACTGACGGTAGTGTCACCTTGGATACTACATACATGTTAGAACATATCGTTACATACATATATTTATATATTCAGAATGACTAGGATCTGTTAGCCGTTCCTTTCACTTTTAACATTTCATATCACTAAAGGTGTCGTAATGAATTGTCAGGAACACCACAGTTCAGTTGAGTTTTTAAAGATATGTAAAAGGTTCACTGAAAACAACCATCAGTATGTGTCTGCTCAACCAAACTTCAATTTTGAATTTATCTCAAAATCCCAGATAATTGATAAATAAATTATTGGAACCATTATCTGTTGATTGTTTTTTTGTTGTCCCTGCCAGTTAGTTGTAAACAAACAGATTGACCTGATCGACAGTATAACAGTGTAAAAAAATAGTACAAACATGCCCTCTTGTGATTTTTAGGTGAGTTTGGGGCAAGTGAGCTTATTCCATTGTGTGGTGTCACTCATATTTACACTCAACTTTTTGATCATATTACATGATTTGACCAATTTCAATTTGTACACTCGACTTTTTGATCATATTACATGATTCAAATTGGTTTGAGTTCAGAATCCATGCTTGAGCATGAGAATTGTTTCATGAAAACAGGCCTTGGTCTGTTTTAGTAACATTACTTTGTGTTTCAAGGTAGTAGATCAGTTCAAACACGATGTACTACTAGTGGTAAAACACAAAATCATGTTCTGAAGTTAACAGGGCTGTTCTGACAAGTAAAGCTCAAGTTATGGTACAACACTACTTCATAAACCGAGAACCAGGGCCCGTATTCATGAAGCTGTTCTCATGTTCAAACTCAGATTTTGTGCTCAAGCCCAGTTCTTGATGGTCATTTTCCAATAGGTTATCACCCTGACAAGCACAACTAATTGAAACAAAATACTGCTTTTGCAGCAGTGACATTGACCTTATGGCAGACAATGCCCAAAACCAAAAGGTTCCACTAGGGCTATCCATGCACTAAGTCTGAGCTTTGTGTGATATTGGTTTTCAAGTCATTATCCAGAGAAACTAAATTCTAGGTTTAGCAAGTGACCTTGACCTCTGGCGGATGCATCCACTTGGGCAGCCCGCACACCAAACTTGGATTTTTAGGATTGTTCTCGAGCAACCAAACAAAATTCTATTTTAGCAATGGTGACCTTGACCTATAGTGGACCACTCCAAAGATTGATGGATTCCTTACATCCACTGGGGCAAAGTTTGAATTTTGTATGATCCCTATGTAGAAGTTATCATCTTGTATATAATTGTGACCCCTTGGCTAGAATGGTTTCATGAACAGCAAACTTAGTGTAAGGCCAGACAAAACAAGAGGCCCAGAGGTCCTGTTTCGCTCACCTGAATATGTTTAAAATAATTGGTATAAAGTAAAGATATAGCACTCCATGGTAGGACGTGCTGTAAGAACATATGAAATTTCAGAAAGATCCATCCAATACTTAAGTATAGCGAGAACAAACATCAAACAGAGCCCCACCCCTATGCCCCTAGGTGGGTCATACCCACCGTTTATCTAAAATTGAGACCCTTTCGCCCAAGGATGCTCCAGACTAAATAAGGATAAAATCACTTGATCCCGATGGTCGAAGAAGAATTTTAAACATTTTACCTCTATTTTCCCTATAGGGCCCCGCCTCTCTGCCTCCAGGGGGGTTAGACACACCATTTATACAAAATTGGTTCCCTTCACCCAAGGACGCTTCATACCAAATTTGGACAAAAACATTTCATTCCTACAGAAGAAGGTTTTTAAAGAATAATTTGGTATGTTTCCCCTATTGGGCCCCGCCACTCAGGCCCCTAGCGGCCCAGACCCACCGTTTATACAAAATTGGTTCCCCTTCACCAAAGTATGCTTCAGACCAAATATGGAACAAATCCTTCATTCCTACAGAAGAAGGATTTTAAAGAATTTGCTATATTTCTCCTATTGGGCCCCACCCTCAGCCCCCAGGGGGGCCAGACCCACCATTTGTACAAAATTGAGTCCCCTTGGCCAAATGATGCTCCAGACTAAATTAGGATAAAATCCCTTAATCCCTTTGATAGAAGAAGGATTTTAAAGGTGTTTCCTCTATTTCCCCTATTGGGCTCCACCTCTCTGCCCCCAGGGGGGCCACACCCACCGTTTATACAACATTGAGTCCCCTTTGCCTAAGGATGCTACAGTCCAAATTTAGTCAAAATCTACTTGGACATTCAGGACTAGTAGCGTTTTTAAGAAAAAGTTGACGGACGGACGACGGACGTTGCGGTATGGCATAAGCTCACCATGGTCCTTTGGACCAGGTGAGCTAAAAATGTAGGTTTCCTGTAACACGTTGGAAACATTTCAGGTAAGTAGGTAACACATTTTATTTTAACAAATAATTCTATATGGTTTATATAGGAGAGTGAACCTAACTTTAACGGTGCTTCTTCGAAAATTGTCAATTTAAGGGTAAAGCACAAAAATTTAGGATGGGTAGGATTACTGGAAACACCAAATATTGTTTGTTTGGCTAATGAATTTTCCGCTTCAGTGTGCTAACAGTTTAAATGTCCTCTGGGTAAGTAATTGACAGAAATGTTGAGGCTAGTAAATACAGCCAATAACTTAGCTGGCAAGTGCTTAGCTACATATCTGTACTGGCAAGTGCTTAGCTAAATATCTGTACATGATGCTGGACCACTGTGCACATCCTCTGCCAAGTTTTCTCTTATCATTGTTGTTGTCTTGGGTGCTCAAAAACAAGACCACAAAGCAAAAACACATTAAAATCATTTTATTCAAAACTTGAAAGTCTGATGGAATCTGATTAATAACAAAATAATCTGCACCAAATTATCAACCTTTAATTAGATATGTGTACATTTACGTTGGATGATGTTAATTCTATCTGTTGATTCCAAGTCTATTATTTGTACATCAGAGGAAAAGACAATTAAAAGCATCACAGAAAATATCATATCTGTTGAAAACAACTTAAATATATATCCATTTTACATTTCCATGCCTGAGTTCATGTCCTTCCATATCATATATACTCTCTCTAAATATCCTGCCACACTACGGAAACTGCCTTGTCCAATATCGCCCCTCATCTTTAGTGTACATTATATATCTGAAAATAACAAACACACAAGATGTACTTTATATTAACAAGAGGCCCATGGGCCTTAACGGTCACCTGATATATTTATACAGAGAGTTGATTTTGTTTTTAACATGAACAGAAATATTATTCAAAGTGACAAAAAACAATAAAACCACCTTACTCAATATCTAGCATACAGATTTCAGACTAAAAAGGATTTGAAACTAGCACCTCCAATTCTTAACAAGGAAAATGAAGAAATTTTAGCACACTGACTCCTTTGAGCCCCACCCTACAGCCCTTGGGGGTAGGGCTGGCTCAAAATTTTCAAAGTATCAAACTGTCAATTCAAGGTTATAATTCCAATCAAGTTATTAACATGTAATATTCAAA